ATTAATACATATTAATTAAATATATTAATTATAGATATTAATTATATATTTATATACAAAAGGATAAAATAAATAAATGTATACCACAATCACAGAATTAAAAGGATATGTAGGCAAATCTATAGCTATAGTTGGATATTTGCAAGTAAGGTCATATCACATGTGAAGCACATAATTTGACCTAATTAGTATATAGGACAGTTTGCCCAACTACTATGAAAAAACAAAACTATTCTTTTTTAGTTCATAGTAAATATGAACAATTACCCAGACCAACCATATTCCTGCCCCTCAGAGCAAGTCCTCACAAATTTTAAATGAGTGAAGTCATTTTAGAGTATGTTCTCTGTACATAGTGGAATTCAGAAACAAAATAATCACAAAAATATACACAAATAGAAAAATCCTCAAATACTGGATTTTAAGCAACATACTTCTAAATAGCAGTGAGTATAAGAACAAATCACAATAAGAATTAGTAATGTATATTGAAATACCACCTGTTAAGACAGCTAGCATACTAAATATGGAGTGGAATGCAGATAATGCAAGGTATTGAGGAGCATTTAGAGTCTGAAATGCACATATTAAAGGAAAGACTGAAAAGTTAATAACCTAGGCTTTCACATTAGGATCCCAAGAGGACAATGCAAGTTAAATCCCATAGGAATAGAAAGAGGGAAAAAATGGAATATAAAATATGTAAAATGAACAACTTCCAAATTTTATTTTTTAAAAAGGCTGATAAACCTCCAAAAAATGATCAAAACAGGGAGGAGAACCTAGCATTTGGGAGGCTGAAGCAGGACAACCACTTTGAGTTCCAGGCCAGCCTAAACTATGTAGCGAGACCCTGTGTCAAAAAGCCAAAAAGAAAAAAAAAAAAGAAAAAAGGAAGGAGAAATAATGTCAAGGATAAAAAATACCTGTAAACATTAAAAGTAAAGTTAGAGAATACCGTGAACAGCTTCATATTAACACAATTATAAAATATAGGCAAAATAGACAAATTTACAGAAAAATAATTTGTTAAAACTAACACAAGAAGAAATGACGAATATGAACAGTATGCTATTAAATCAAATTTCTAATAAAAAGTTTGTCAAGAAACAAATTTTGTTAAAGTTGTCTGAAATGATCCTGAGATCAAGAACGAAGCAAGAATAGGAAGGGAATCCAGGGGAGAGAGGAGAGGGGGACAGTGGTGACCAAGAAGAGCTGTGCTTATCAACGCCCCAAATAAGTGGAATTGTTAAATTTTGCAAAAAATACTAATTGACTATTTCTTCAAAAGAAAAGAGTGAAACAAGAATGTCTGCTACTACTACTTATTTTTTTCATCTTTGTACCACAGATCCTACACAATGCAGTGAGGTAAGTTTATAAAATGTGGAAGGAAGAAATATTATAAATTGTCATTATTTGCAAATGACATAACTTTTACATAGCAAATCTTCAAATTATTTGTGGATAATTAGAATTTTAAGTTAATTTATCAACACAATTGGACACAGAGTTGACAAACTGCCTGTCTTTACACCAGAAAAAATATTTTAAAATAAAATTTTAAAATAATCTCACTTATTCTAGCATCGCAAAACAACACATCTTTAGGAATAAATCTGAAGAAAGATATGCAAGACTTCCATAGAGAAATCTATCAAACATTACTGGCAAAGTTAAAGAAGACATAAATGTATGCTAACCTATAACCACAACCGTAGATTAGTAGACAAGAGTGTGAAGGCTTTTTTGAAGAACTTGACAACCTAAATTTTAGGTATTTTCTCATCTATTTCCTCATTTAATCCTCACAGCTACATTTAAAATAAGTGGTATTAATCCCATTATCTAACATGAGAAAACTAAGACTCCAAAAGATTAAGTAAGGTTATTTGCACCCCTAATAGCAAATGACTGAGCTAGGAATGAACCATCAGAGTCTGACTTTCCCCCCATTTGTTTGTGTTGCTGCATACATAGACTTATAATCTAGAAGAGCCAGGAGAGAGTCCTGGGAGATATTTTGAAAAGAGGGCATCATGCCCCAAAGTAGTTCTTAAACACAGGCGCTTTCTGAGGGGAGCACGCCTGTGCTGGCTGCTCTGCTCCAAACTGGACTCATCGCCTTCTCAGTCAAAGCTGCAGAGCTGCTCTCCTCCTGAAGAGTGAAATAGAGCCATGCGGAAAACTGCAACCATCCTCTCCTACGTCCTGCTGTATCTGCCTTTGTTTTTAACTTGGATGTCATGCCTCTGTGCATGTGTGTGTGTGTGTGTGTGTGTGTGTGTGTGTGTGTGAGAGAGAGAGAGAGAGACAGAGACAGAGAGAAGAGAGAGAGAGAGAGAGAAACCTTGTTCAGATCTTTTGCCTATTAATATGCAAAATAGGGTTGGTTTCTCAAAAAAATTATAAAAGTTCTTAATTTCCATAAGGTCCAATTTATCAATCTGCTCTTTTATAGTTAATGCTATTAAGGTCCTATTTAAGAATTTTCTGCCCATCCCATGGTCATGAAGATTATCTCCTGTGCTACTACCTAGATATCCTGTTGTGTTTCTTACAAACATAGTGCTTTGACCCATCTGGTGTTAATTTTACTGCATAGTAGGAGTAAGAAGTCAAATCTCAGGAGTTTTTTCCTCCCCAATACAAATGCCAATTGAGCTAGCTGAAAAGGTCATTGTACTGGGTCTTTTTCTGGTATGTCTTGGTTACCTTTTTCTGGCTGCTGGGACAAAATACCTGACGCCCAAAATTAAGGAAGGAAAGGTTTATTTTGCTTACAGTTCGTGGAAAGTTTAATCTGTACTTGGCAGGTTTATAAGGCAGAGTGGCACGTGGCAGAGAGCTGCATCTCAGGGCGGCAGCACACAGCTAACCAGCAAGCACTCACCAGGGCGGAATGGGGGAGGAATGTCCCAAGCACTCTTTTCCTGTCCCTTACATATGCAAACTATCCACTCCTGGGCGGGTGCAGCTCTCACACCCATATTCAAACTCTAATAGCCTGCCCCAGGGCCGCAGGAGGCTTTGGGGGGACACACAGACATAAACCATAACATGGTATATCACAAGTTTTACATGTATGTGTGTGTGTGTCCTGCCTCTGTATTCCTTATTCCATCTCAGTTCTCTTTCTCACTCCCTCTCTCTTTCCTTCTCTTCCTTTATCTCTTTGCAGTACTAGGGCCTGGAAACAATACTAGGGATTGGGCATGTTACTTAACCTTTTGGAGTCTTAGTTTTCTCATGTAAGACAGTGTGACTAACCATTTATTTTAAACGTAGCTGTGAGGATTAAATGAGATAGTAGATATGAAAATACCTAGCACAGAGTCAATCACATGAAGTTTTATATACCTAGAGAGACATACATCGTCCTGATGCCAGTATACTATTTATAAAATTTATGTCACTTAAATCCACTGTTCTCTACTTTTTTCCTATTTATTAAAAGCAATAATTACATCTTCCCCAAAGATTATAATTTACCTTTGTGAGTGTCTAAGTGTGCACATTAGCTGCATGTTAATTAGAATGTATGTGGAGCCTCTTATACATTATTATTAGAGAGAGGATGAAAGCAGATTATTTGAGGGGCGCAGTATCCAATAACACTAGCAATCAATACAAGTGCTCTGGATGTTGTATATCAAATCAGAGAAAACCTTTTCAGAAGGAATTACCTTGATAAAATTTCCCTGGGGTGGGTCAGAGTGCGGCAAGCCAGGAGCCTGACTCCGAGTCACTAGACAGCACGGCACTGAGTGACAGCTGAGAGCCAGGAAGTAACCGCAGGTTTCAATTTCTTCACCGAGCCAGGTCCCCTGGCTCTTGCGTCTTTACAAAGCAGTTTTCCTACCTTAAGTGTTCCTCCTCATGTGATTGCCTGAAAAATGCTTACTCGTATTTTGGAATCACACATTCATTTCACCAAAAATGCTTACAAAGAAGTCCCCAAGATGCTTCAAGGTCCACGTTAGGGGCCAGGGACACAGTGTCACACAACCTCAGCCTCACCCTCCCGAGCTCGGCCTCTGCTCCAGTCCCCGTAAAGCCACCTGTGTTGCTCCCTCCCCTCTTCTCCAGGGTGTGGGTGCACACAGGGTGTTTAGCACAGCCTGCCCCTTTCCGTTGCTGTCACCCCAGGCTGGGAGGTGCTGCATGAAAGGAAGAACTGCAGTTCTTCACCTTTTCTTCCTTAGAGCACAACTTAAAGTCGCACATGTAGCGGGCACTCAACATGTTGGATGAAATCATACATTATTCATGAGGCCTAGGTACAGTCAAATCCATGAAATGATTTTTTCATGAATATTAAAGGAATAAAAACAATTACATCCAGAAAAATTACATCTCTTTGAAACATCCTTTGCTTTTGTTATTTTATTAGCATTTTGTTAGTAGCCCTAGCAGCTTCTTTAAAATGCTCACAATGCCAAGGGTGTTAGTGGTGTTAAAGGGATGCATAGTATAGATGTAGGTACAATGACATCTGGTTAACCCTTTCCAGTTTAAAATGATGAGAATCTTTGGGAAAAAAATAGAATAAGCTCCCATTTAATTGCCAACAGCTATGTATATAAATGACTGAGTCATTTATACCAGGGGATTTATTAAATTTTTATAACAATTGGCAATATTCATCCAGAAAAAGGAAGCGAAAGAAATCACAGAATTTAACTATGCAACAAAATCTGGCACATGCTACAAATAGGTGTAACCTGTTTATTTAAACACTTAGTATAGATCTAAGAGTTTCCTGATGTCCATAAAAATGTGCTGAATTATGTTTGAAAAAATGAAAACAACAACACTGCCATTATTGTGCCAAAAAAGTGAGAAGAAGCCGTTCTTCAGTGATGCCAGGCAGATTCTAGAGGCTTAAATAGTGTAAATACGAAGGTAACTTTGGAGATAGTATCATGGTTGACTTTTAGCCACCTTCCATACAACCCCCCAGGGAAGGACCAGAGCTGAGAACGTGGAATACCTACTTGGTCTGGTGTTTGGATCCTTTCAGGTGGGCATGGTACTGTTCTATGGAGTTTAGGGAGACACTGCAGATGGTACATCTGTAAGTGCGCCGCAGACCTGTGGACAACAGACAGACCTGATTAGCTGCCTTCCTCATCAGCCACCTGCCTGAGTTAGAACACATTCACAAGTTCAGGGACGGAGTACATGAGGACTTCGATGCACCCCACCAACCGCACCGCACCTGGCTTCCGGAGCCCAGCTAATGAGACCCTCAGTGGATAGGTGAGTGGACAGTAGCAGCCTGCTCTACTTAAGATGTCTGAATTATGGGATCATACTTCTTTGCATTGAAGCAAAATATTTTTGGACATTTTGTAACTCAAAGACGCTTTGTACTTGTTCCCTAAGGCATGTAGACATAGCTGCCTGTCACCTGTGCAGTGAAATTTAGAACATCAAAGGAAAACCCTATCCTGATTCCTTTCCTACTTCCTTCCACAGCAGAATTGGAAGCACAACGTTAGACATTATTTATTTAGCATTTTCTTCTGCAATTATCTTATATGATGTAAATACCCAGGAGAAGGACAATGTAGCAATTTGTTTCATACAAAGTCTTACTCTCCATCAGACAAATTAAAAGAATATCTATGCATTCACCTAGTTATTCATTTAATTATTTCTGCTATTTTGTAAAAGTTTGTCTGTCTGTTAATGTTTTCCTCCTTTTATTTTTAAAATAAAAAAAAAAGATAGTATCACTCTGGGCCATCATGGTGAATTGCAAGATGACTAAGATGCTCTTTGCTTTCAAGCAGTTTAGTAAAAATTTCAATTATGTTGTATTATTGACTTCTATAGAAAACTTATGCAACAAAGCAGCTTTAATCAAATAACTTTAAACTTATGTCACGGCTCAGAGACCCACAGTGAAACATATTCCTTCACCTAGGGTTTTCCTTCAGAGTACAGAGAAAAGAAAAGTCAGTCATGAACTTAAACTTTGGATTTATACCTTGGATCCATCATCCTAGTTCTATAACCTGGAGGAAGTAATATCACTCCTTCTTGTCCCTCGTTTCTCATCTATAAGATGAAAACAAGCCCATCCACATCACAACATTGCTGCAATAACTAAGAGAATAAGAGCTATGAACATGTTTGGCAAGTGAGAATGGCTGTTACTAGTTTTTCCATGAAATTCTGGTCTTACCAATGTAAAAACCAGGATATTAAACAGCTGTAGCAATTTTCTCTAATTAGTACATTATATTTTCCTTCTAAGCAAAGTTTTCTGTTTTTCCAAGAATGAAATCATGTACACTAATTGGAAGAGCTTTGCAACTTGTTGCCTAGGTCACTTTAGGCAAATTGTTTGACTTCTCTAGGCTTTGGTTTGGGGAAGGTAGATGGGTGAGATATGACATCCGTGAGAGAATCTGGTATCCAACCAGTGATCAATATATCTTTTTTTTTTTTTTTGTACTGGGAATTGAACTCATGACCCCACACTTGCCAGACAAGTGCTTGTGCCACTGAGCTATACCCCCAGCCCAAGTAATCAATATAAGTTAGCTAATGATTTTTAAGTGATGCAAACACAGAATACTTTATGTCTCAGGGTCCAAGTTGAACCCTTGCACTGAAGTCCGCGAATACAGACGGCAGTGTGCACTCACATTGAAAAAGTGGATGAAGGGAGTACTATGCCAACATACTCAAAAGGAGTGAGCAAGAACCAGAGTGTTTAACCCTGAAGGGACCACTTAACAGCCAAAAGTCTACAAGGACACTAGAGAAGAAAATAACAGGTAGAGAGTCTCTCAGAACATGAGAGTTGTACATGTTCTTCTACCTTACCTAAAGAGAGCCACAGTGGGGTCACTGAGTGAGCCTACAGCCTATCTCACTGTGCTGAACTCTCGTACCACCTGCAAGATACAAAGGGCCAGAGTCTGTGGCTTGTTAACATCTCCAATGGCAAAGTACAAGAGGTGGCAGAGTTGGGCCTTCTCAGAGCTTATCAGAATAAAGGATATGTAAGAGTTCTCCCCAGAGTATGTACATATCAAGCATGGGAGCTGCTGCTTTGGTGATATCTCAGATACTATTCAAGAGGGCCAACTAAGGTCGAGGTAAAGAGACTCCTGAAAAAAATGTCCTGGTGAATCCCACTCCAAAGTATCACTAATATGAACTAATAAATATAACAAGAAACCTTTGCATCCAGATGCTGGAGGTGCTCAGCTGAGCATCTTGGTGTTTCAAGTGGCCTCAGATGAGATTCTTAGCCCATAATATTAAGTGATGGCAAGTTTCCACAAAACCATGAAGAAGCCTGGGAGAAGTGTCAAGTGGTAACTTCTGCCCCACCAGCAGCAGTCACACTCGTGCTGTGTGATACCTGTCATGTAAACTTTCCTTTCCCAAGAATTTCTAACCTCCCACTTTGCATCCCTCAGCCCTGGAACCAGAGGCAGCTACAGAGTAAAATGAAGAAAAGCAAAAGTCCCAGAAGACAAGCAAACTCCAGGCAGAGTAAAGGAGAGAGATCTACCATCCTGTCTTTCCCATGGCAAGAAGGCAGCCCTCCCAAGAACTGTGCTGGACAAGACAATAGCAAATGTTTGAAAATTTGTGAGTTATTCCAAACAGATGGCTCTATCTTGGATACATTAATAAAGGAAATGGATACTTTATGTTATCTATGAATGAGTAAAAGACTCTATACTTGACAGTGAAAATTCATGGTGCGCTGTAACTCTTATCCCAGGGAGGGAGCACAGGCACTCCACAGACCTAATTTGAATGAGCCATGGAGGACAAGAATAAGGTTTCCTTTGTCCAGACCAATGAATTCTGCTTACTAAATGTTAGCATGTAGCCAAGTTTGTGTTTACTTCTCTGAGAGGAGCAAAAAGCAGAGCTTCCTGGAGACTTTCACACTGTAATGGCCTGGCACACATTTCAGAGCAGCCTGTTTGAAATGTAATATCAAACCGAGCTGCCAGTAGGAGAATGAACCCATTTTGGGTTTTGTTTAAGACACGTAAGTGGGCACTGACATACAGATAGTTCCACAAAAATCATTTTAAGGCAGGTGCAGGGGCACTTGCACTGAAGTCCACAGACTGGAGTTTGATCTAGCACAAAAAATGGTAAATTTAATTAAGGAAGAAAAAAGAAACAACAATGAAATTACAAATATCTAGACTCAGAACTTCCCAGGTTCAGCTTGCCGGTTCAGACATAAACCAGAGAACTACTGAATCTCCCCATAAGCTCGGGAATGACATTCAGCCTTCAGCCTCCCAACAGGGGATGCTCCTCCTGCAACTGTGTGTTCATGCGGAGGCCTGGGCTTGCCCTGCATAGATGGATTTTGTGGACTTTGAATGAAATCTGGGAATGAAGCAGTTTCAGAGCATGACCCCACCCTCACAACATGTTCATGCTCTAAAAAGAACTCTCCCTTGTGCTCCTTTGGAAGAACTTGAAAGTGTCAGAAGAATACTGGGCCTTCTATGAAAAAATAAATAAAAAGAGAGCTATTGTGTAAAAAAAGAGCTGTGCTTACATTGCCTTTCCTTTTCACAGGTGTGCATGATTCAGAGATTACAGTGGTCTGCGCACCCAGAGGCCATAAATTATCACAACCAGCCTGGGGAAGCTGGAAGTTGTCTGAATGCTTAGCCAGGGCCGATCCTTTCTGCTCTTTTATGCATGGAATCAAAATATGAGAACCAGCTTCAGGCATTACTCCCTCCAAAGTTCCCCATCAATCTTGTCATAATAAACAGTAAATACTGTGTATATGCGTCCTCTTCAGACTACAGACTAATGGAAGGTCCCTTCATAATAAATGGAGGTTCAGCTTAGCAATAGGCATAAATATTTATGCTTAAAAAATGGCACTTTTAAGAACACCAAAAAAATCTAAAAAATATTCTGATCTGTTGTTTCCATAATGGTTCTCATGCTCTGCAGCCAAACAGAGGCGTGGGCAGGAAATACTTGGCAGTTTATTGCGAGGCAAACTACAGGGATCATAAACTGGAGAGGCCTTGCATATAAAGAACAAAGGTAGAGAAGGGGCAGAGGCAGTCTCCCCCTCACAAGGCATAGTGTCCTTGGTGGGAACTTAGTGCTTCATTAACACTCAGCTGAAATCCTGATTAATTCAAAATGTTATGGCTCCTTTTTCCTTAGGGAACTAGAGAATCCTATTACTAAACCTAAAACGCTAATTTTCTTACTCCGTTCACTTTTAACACAGTAACATATTGAGGGTATCCTAAAATCTTTACAAGCTTAAAGGTTATTTCTATAGGATTGCCAAACATGTGTTAGAAAATACAGTCCCTGCCTGCAAAGGAGCTGGCAGACCATCCCGCTGAAGGGAGAAGACACATCCAGAAGCAGAAATTCCTCAGGGGACCACCGCAGGGATCACGGTGAGGGAAAGGAGTCCTTATGGGAACAAGAGGAGGAGACTGCTGCTAACTTAGATCTGGAAATCTTCTCAACAGTGTTTATAAAACAGATGGTTCTGGAGAGTTTACCAGAATGTGACTACTCAGTATGTCTTTTCAAGTCCTATGGGTCTGGTCACCTCTATTCTACATTAAAGAAACATCACTGAGTCGTTATTATGGTGCAAGGTATTTTGCTGAACACCCAGAATATAGGAGAGATTAAGATTGAGCACTTTTTCTTACGGAGCTACACAGGAAGACAGACAAGAAACAATCAATAAAGCCTGAGAGTGTTGCACAGGAAGTGAGCAGGACAATGAGAGAGGGAGTAGGAAGAAGAGTGATCTTTTTTGGCCAAGAGAGTTGTCTGGAAAGTATAAAATAAAACAGGAGGACGGTAATTCGCCTGTGATATGAAGATCTGGGCAGAAAGTGGTCTCAGGAGGAGAAATGTCAAGTACACAGGGTTAGAAGGGAATATAGGATCGACTTGTCCAAGGAATAAAAGGTGGTGGAGGAGAAGAAAGAAGCAATACAATTTTTTTAAACAACATTTTCCATCTGGAATTCTACTCCCAGGAAAAACTCATGCAGAAGTGAAAGTAGACCAAGAGTATTCATAATCAATAAAAATACATT